TTAATTTATACTGGCTTAATTAAAATATTCCTGTAATCCTTTAATACCCCTTAAATGACTTTTTTTTGCTTTCATGTGTAGCCACTACTACAATTACTTTTAGGATTGCTACATGCTTTTTTCCTATTTTAGTTTTAGTAAATTTTTGTTTTATGTATGTGCCAAACATCATAGTATTGAATTGTCTTAAGTAGTCATAAGTTTCAGCTTTAACCCAGTGCACTTCTACTACACCCTCGGGGCAACACCCTATACCTTTCTCCGCAGTGGGCTTCATTTATTATTCTTCTGTAGAGCTCTGAGCTTTGTTTTAATCATACACCAGACTGCTACTTGTGGGAACCGGTTATCCGCTTTTCGTCAGCTCGAATTACATTACAATTACAAGAGAGTGGTGGAAGTGGTCCGAGTTTGGTATTCTTCCCCTTTAAAAACTATGCAGCCCTAGCGGTGGTTATTATCTGGGCTCCCTGGAAAAGTCTGCGGACAGGGAGAGGGAGAAGAGGCGGGGGGGGGGACAAGCCGAGTCGGAGAGATCATGGCGGCACCTCTTGGACGGGACACCCTACCTGACCACTGGTCGTATGGAGTTTGTAGAGATGGCCGGGTCTTCTTTATCAAGTGAGCGGGCGGTTTTTACTACTCAACGCTTGTTTCTTTACGAGGCGTTATAACCGTGAAGGATTTTTGTTGTTTCATTATCGTTCAGTAACAGGTGTCTTTCTTGCAGTGATAAAAGTCATAGCACTACTTGGCTACATCCACGCACTGGTGAACCTGTTAACTCGGGACACATGATACGGTCAGGTACGCGACAAACTATCTGATTTGTAGGATGCCGAGGGGACTTCTTTTCCTATTTTTTCCCCCTATTTTTTTCCCCCTTTTTTTGCTGCAATGTGTTTTCTGTCTGTGGCGTTCAATGTGGTTCTTGTTCGTCTTATAGATTTGCCAAGAGGATGGGAAGAGGGCTTCACGGACGAAGGAGCGAGCTACTTCATCAAGTGAGTGGCTCGAGAGCATTGTTGCACTGTTGCATTGTTGCACCGTGTAAAATTTGATCCCATTAGCTGCTTTTTAAAAGTGCTGTGCGTGTGTGTGTGTGTGTGTGTGTGTGTGTGTACAATGCTTTCATTTCCTTTCTGTCACTGTGCAGTTCTGACACGTTTGAGTTACAGTCAAACACTGATACTCAAACTACATTAAAAGGCTGTGCCGCAGACACAGTATGTCATCTAAAAAACACAGTATGCACGTGACAAATGACACATGAACACACCAGCATATGGATTAACACACAGGGGGTCCCATCAGATAGGTGAAACCAATTACCTCTGCCTGCATTGTGAATGGAAAGTGGCAGTGCCTAGCAGGACAGGAGGAAGGCTATTAAAATTCTCCTCACATCCTCCATGCAGGACCTCTACTCTCTCCATTAGATAGGTGTGTGTGGCAGTGTGTGAGAGAGAGTGTGTGTGTGTGTGTGTGATAGAGGGACTGTAAAGGTTGCAGGAGAGGGGTGTGACCGTGTGGTGACAGAGATGTATAGCATGATTGCATTATTGAAGCAGAAAGGACAGGATTTACAAAGTCACAGATGTGTGAAGTGTTTTTTTTTTGTTTTTTTTGGTCAGATTTTCACATGTCCTTCACACATTAACATTTGTAGGATTCAGGTTGAACATCAGCGAAAGGCACCACAGCATCAGTACCACACTGACTCATCCATTATGTTAAGTTCCTCAAGGATTATGTGCATTATATTTGCATTTTTCCATCTGCAGTGCTATACATCATAGATTTATATGCGGATTCTGGTCTGCGTGTCAGTGTATATCAGATGGTTACTGTGAGAGGAACCAGGACACAACAGCCACCAGCAAATTATGCTGAAAGCAATCACATAAGTCAGGCTAACAATGACAAACAGAAAGCTTAGTGTAAAACAAAGTGGAGACAAATTCTTTATTGGCGCTGGATCATTGTGAATTACAATTACTTCTCCCACAATAGCTTGTTTAAGGTTTTGTAGTTCCACTGCCCGTAGTCCTGTTATGGCCCTTTTAGCTTGCCCCATTTGTTCCAGACAGAAGGCCTGTATGGTGAGGTTTTATATCCCCATAGTTGCAGTCTTTCTGATGTTGATACTTTACTAATAAGAGGCCTTTGCTCAACAGCATGCAATGCTCTGCAGACACCAGTTTGCAGCACTGAATTAACTAAATAGGTATTCATTTTAGCAACACCTGCACTCAGACATAAGTATCAAATGGGTACTATACCAGTTGTTTTGAGAAACAAATGATGTCCGTGCATTCAGTAGCCACTTCGAAAAAAAACATTCTGGCGTTCAAAGAGACAAGAAAAAAAGACACATAAAATGGTTTCAGCTAACAAATTTGTTGTTGCTGACACTTATACTGTGTGTAGGATAAAGGCGGTCGTTGTGTCTCCCTCGTTCACGCACTTTTTCTCTGCAAGAAGCGAGAACAATACAACAGTGAAGTTGTGTGATATATGGTAGCCTAAATGTCAAGGCTGTTAAATGAGTCGACTACTTGTTGCGCATTTAGCTTGGTGGAAGGATCCTGTTTTTGCTCCCGCTCCCTGCTTGTTTCATTGTTTTCAAGGGCTAATTTCTCCGGGAGTCAAACAGAACACACCAAGACTGCTCTGTTGTACCATTCAACTTATCTTAAGCATAGTAGAGATCCATGTTCTCTTGGTGCATGAAAGAAAGTAAAATCATTGTGTGTTTGCCAGAGTAGATTAAACTGCTGAGCGATTAATTTCATTTATAATATAATTGCATTGTGAAAAAAAATGCTAATACAAACTAGATTTGAGATTTGAGCTCAGTAAATTGTAACAAATTGATAGTGAGATAATGCTGTAATAATGATCACGGTATTATGAGCCTCAGGTGTAAATGTATAAGTAAATCAAGATAGCTGAAATGTTATTAAAACACAGCATTGATTTGCTGTATGGCAGATTTATTGGTCTTTGTTTAATTCTTGAAGCAGTGTGACTATGAAGTCCCATATTGAAGTGTAGTATTCAGATAATTACTTTGAGAAACTGATGATTGGTGTACAGCTCAGTGGCGGAAATTAATGTTGCGAGCGAGTTTATTGTTCTCCGGTGATGATGGAGTATTGTCATTTTGTCATTGTGTATCAAGCGTATCTTTGGCGGTTTATTTGATTTAATGCAGACCTGGATGATGGCAGGTTTCTGTATTAGTCCCATGTGTCTACAGGGTAATTATAGGAAGTGTCGATGTGTCAAGCTTACCTGGCTTTTAACTCCAGCACTCAGCTAATTAAGCTATGAGTGGATACACAAGCCTGCTTAATTTACTACTACTTTGTTCTTAAAAACATGAGCTGACTCTCCAGGAATATTTTGGTGGAAGATATGCTTTGGTTATTAATGTTAGCTGGCAATATTCAAACACTAAAGACAGCGAATATGGCTCCAACTCAGTGGGATTAATCCTTTCAATCACATTCGAAAAATTGGAAAGGGACTGGACAGCTTGGACTGTGACCCTATTTCCGACCATTGAAATTATCCCAAGTGTTAGTCTTTAGTTTATAACTGGCAACAACTCAGCTTTTTTTTTTAAATTCCTCTTCATTTTTACAGGAACAACCTCCAGATTAGTGTTTTTTGCTCCAGGTTGCAAATTACGGTTCTTTTTGTTTGGTGAAATTTCATCTCAGACTCACGTCATTTTCACTTAAACATCAGATGTTATCAGGAGCTCTGTTAAAGTGGATTATCAGATTTTTATAACAAAGCAAGTAAGTTTTTTTGATATAAACAAACTGCTGTCCATCCTAATCACTTAACTGTCCAGGAAGTATACAGCAACAAACTGGAGCAGGACTGAAGTCCACGTGGTGCTGCCGTGACAACGGTCAGTAGATTGGGTTGTGTGTTGATGGTGGAATTTACCCGAGGTGGAGTACAAAGGAAGGATTGTTCAGACGCCACTGCTGTGGCAAAACTCACATTTATTTACACCTCGCTGTAGACCAACCTGAACTATATGTTTAATGTGTGTAGTTTTTGTTTAGGTCTACTTCACTTTAGTTACAGTTCTAATATATACTGATGTTAACCCATCAATAGACTGAACGTAGACAGGAAATTGTCAAAACTAAGTTGTCATCCGTGGCAGCAGATTGAAATAGAGTCACTGACTGTCATACTTATGGAAAATCTCGAAGGAAGTGACCCAATTTGGAAATCATCTTCCAAAATCATCTCATTCCAATCCCTGCAGATGATATGCTGCAGATGAAACAGGCTTGTGTGTTGAGGTAAGCTTGAGTAATGGATGCATATCAATAGAAGGTCACCAACATTGGACACCAACATAATATTGACAATGACATGTGTGGCAATGAGATGTGTATAACATAATGTATAATTAGGTAGTGTACAACTAAATTAGCTAGGAAAACCATTTAGGAAGATCTGTTAGCAGAAATGGGATATAACATTCACATGTTTTTGTGTATAATCACCTG